TGTCTAGCGACTCGATTTAATGTTAAAAATTTGGATTTTGTGGCGATTTTCCAGTCTCTCTATTACGAATGAGAGTGATTTTGACGGGCCATTGCACGACTTTGTCTCGATTCTTTTACTGGTCCTCGCAGACACCACCTGCTACAATCAATACACATAAATTAAGGATATGCTCGAACACTAAAGAGTAACCCCGCTTCTCCGCTGCTCTTTGTTCGACTTTGTCGGATTTATTTCAATCCATTAAATTATTTTTAATAAACCGTTTTCAATGGACCTTTCCGACTACTTTTCGTCACCGAAGTAGAATACTCTATTATACTAGTAGCCCGGGACGCCCCCTAGTGGGCGTTATTTACAAATTTTCATGAGGCACGGTTCCTTTGACTTTTTTGTTCCTATCAGTATGCTCTACAGTTCCGTTAAAGTCCCAATGGTAAGATTTTCCCTCCGAATGAAGGGGTGGCAACCCTCCCAAATGTAGCCCCTCTGTGCGAACAATAAAGTCAAAGGAACCATACTCCTAATCGCGACCCTTCGCGAGATATAAGCCCGTGAAAATTCGCCTACGTCATTTTCGGTCACGTGACATCGTGGTCAAAAGGGAGCCTACTGCGCGAAAAAAATTAACGCGCGCTCGCCCACACTCGGGGGGTCGCCGACCGCTCATTCGCAGGGTAAATTCTTGCAAACAGGCGGTTACGTGACCCGTAGAATAATTTTCGGAGGGCTATACAGTGTCTTGGGAAGGGTTGCGCGTACGGGTATGGTTCATTAGACATTTATTGTTCGCACAGAGGTGGGTCGCCATTCCCTTTATTCGGAGGGTAAATCTTACCGTCCCAATCGCGTCATACGGATCTATATTTGTATCTATTAAACATTCTATAAATACTTTAAAATGGTTTAATTTGTTTATTTACCTTCGCTTGTAAACCTCCATTTTACCTTATATTACCTTAATTAATTAATTAACTATTTCAAACTTTATCGTCTTACGTAGTGATTCAAACCTATCCGGTTTTTCGTTACTCGTTCCCTAGTTAACATTACATGCATTCCGTGACAATAATAAATTCCTATTACAAATATAATGAATTATTTATATTGTTATATTGACCAAATAATAATTTATTGGCCAAATGAATAATAATAATTCATATTGTTAATTTAAATAAGAATTAAAATTGATAATTTAATTTAGTGTTTGAAATATGACACACGATAGGGACATATAGGGCCTCTAGTGTCCGTTATGAAACGGTTATGGGACGGACACGAAATAAATGGGTTATATATATAGATACGTGGGAAGTAAATTCGGAAAAAAACGAACGTGGAGTATGAAAGTGAGGAGGGAGGAAGAAGGGACGAAAAACAAGCGGATGTCGGTGGTAATCAGGACCGCATCTGCGTACGTTGTGACCATTCAACACTCAAAACTTTGTAACGTTATAAACGGTAATCAGTACACAACGTTGAATGCAATGAATGTTGGCATTATTCAAAAAAAAAAAATACAAATTACTTTTTCCGGTTCTTAAAAGTTTTACACAAATTACAATTTCTTGCATGGTGTTTCGAGTGACAATTTAAATGAATTCTCAGAAGAATTTCTATAAACAATATTCTAGAAACAAATATTCTTTGTTTATAAATAAATAAGTCCGTTCATAAGGCAAAAGTGTCGTTCGTACAGAAAATCTTGCGAAAATATGGACTTCATACCGACAAAAACTTCTATTCCTGAGGCATGGATTCTAACGAGAAATTATCGGCAGTGTAATGGCATTGGCCATACAATTTTCGGGTACCCAAACATCGGCGGTAAAGAAAAATTTGGTTTCATCACTATAATTTGTTTTAATCTTTGCTCGGTGGCAAAGCTCTCTGCAATAAACCAGTAATAATCGGAATATCATGGCATTAGAAGAGGCCGTGATCTGATTATATTCGCGTGTTCTCACGTTTTAAAAATTTAAATAATTTATATTTTGATTCGATCCGAAAGAAATTGACAGTTAAAATGTGAATAAAAATTCGCAATCCGGCATTGTGACGATGTTAATCATCACCGAAATTTAATATCATCGATCCCCCCAAACACACAAACTTTCCGGCACAATTTTAGAAATTTTCGACAAAATGCTTAGAAGTTATTAAGCTTCAAACAGGGTGAACAAAATCCTGCCTCCCCACACACTAACATCTATACCTATAGAAAAAATCCTCAAAATTTCTTCGTTTCGAAAACGTTATTGTATATTTTAAAAAATAGTTGTATATAAGAGAAAAATATTTCCTTTATAACCACGTTATTTTCGACTACTCGCCCGTCGTTAAATCGCCTCATTTGCATATTAACGTCATCCGGAAAGTCGCTGAAAAGCTTTCAGTGTGACAGTATGGGAGGAAGTAGTGGGATGATTTTAGAGAATAATGTTCGAATTCACCCTTCCGAGTTTGCCTCAAACAAAATGTTAAACATAGTAGAAATAGGAAGATTCGATGAGGATCGAGTGAGTGTAGTAGGACGTAACGGCCAATCTTTCGTCGTGTGGAGAAAATCCTTGATAGAAAAGGGAGGGTTACTGAAAAACTCCGTAACGTTGTGTCCGAACGAATGCAAGTTTATCCTCAAACTACCTCTAACACCGGGAACACTAAGTCAACTCGTCAGGTTTGTATAAATCTAGTCTTTAAAGGTTAATTTTGCGCTCGATATACAAGTATATTACGTAACAATACGAGTACTCGTACTGAATGAAAAATCCCCCGTCCGTTTAAAAACATCGGCGCGAGTATCTAAAATAATTTGCATACGTTAACAACCGGAACGAAAGCAAACATTGGCGAAATCCAATTGTTCTGTGTATCTGTTTGACTCGAGGATGTAACGTAGTGTACTGTACTTGGAAACTTTTTACACAGAAATGTATTTTTGTAATCGTGTTAATAGATATTATTAGTATTTGTTTTATTAATCTGTTTTCTCCTTTCAGATTTTTGACAAAAAAAAAGTGTTACTTTTACTTCTGCAGACGATGCATTCCGAATGTACTTATTGGGCAAACGTTACCACATTAGCCCACTAGTAAAAATATGGTTTTATTATCTCGTCGGAATGATTTATTCTGACTCTCACCACGTTTGTCGTATTCATTATTTGGCCGTCAGACACCACGAAAGACAGTTGCAATATTATTGTTTCAAACCATTCAATAGCACTGACGAATGTATATCCCGTTCCGACGATTTCAAATCGTGCGAAGAAACTAATATTTATGAGTTATTGACGTGTCCGTCCTTCGTCAAGGTGGAGGAACATCATCCGTTGCTCGAACTTCGCACCCGGGTGAAAGAAACATTCGCTATTGAACCGGAACACCTAAAAGACATCCCGAAAAACTTCAATAATGATTTTCGATCGGCAAGACAATTTCCCGCTGGGAAAAATGTGGCCCAACTACTGGCAGCAATTTCTGCTAACGTTAAACAGCGAAAATATTCCAATTATTTTCTCTTATTCGCATTAACTCTGGCGAGAAAAGGAATATTGTCAGAAAATAAAAAGACGGAAGACGACTTGCTGTTTATGGCGGATATCTGGGTACCGGAAAACTACATTGTAGACTCAATTAAATTGCCAATCACCTATCGTAGATCCGCAGGAATTAAGGTTTTGGTCGGTGTGAAGCGTAGTTATTCGCGGTGTTTCGTGTACGAAAGAGGCATCTGCGACACGAACGGAGTCGTACCGTTAGAAAAACTGAAATTGTTGCCAAAGCGAAGCTTTCATATATTTTCGGTTAAAGTTCCGAAAGAGGAAATCGATTCGACTAAAATTAAGGTTCTAAACAAAAGGAATTACGTTCCAATNTTGTAGCCCAACAAAGGAAACCTTCCAACCATTACACGAATTAAATAATGTTTCAGGGGCTGTTGCAAGTATTTGTTTGAAGAGAAAAATGGCCTAAAATTTGTGACACACACACACATGACTATGTCTTCCTCCTAATCAGCTTTTCCGTTGAAGTGGTAACAAGATCATACATCCCCCATCTCTAGTAACTGGTTATAATTTTATTTATACAGTAAGATTCCGCTTAACGCTGATTCGATATAATGCGCTCTGCTCGAAGCCTAAAAACAGTTCAAAATTTACGCCGATTTAAATTATCGCGGCATTTCATTAATTCATATATAATACGATTATTTACGAACACGAACCAATCAGAAAAAGGTGGCAAAAAAGTGTACTTTCTTTAAATCTATGTTTGTTTGGTGCAATTTTGAAAAAAATATAACATCACGGATGCCATAGGCAATATCGACTTCGCTTGGCAAAAATTAAGTGATAAATGCACGAACGAAGTGTGGTTTGTTTGTCTAGTTATGGCAATGCTACATTTGGGCGATCTGTCTAGGGCCTTCCGGGGGGGGGTCTTTTTAAGGGAAACTGGCCCCTATTTAGGCATTACGGACCTGGAGAAAACCCGGAAATTCCACGTGCCGAGCCCTTCAACCGAGGCGTGAACCCACGACCAAACTTCCGTGTTTGTTTTTGGATAGTTTTCCCAGTTTTAGATTTAGTAAAAGAAAAATTAAATTCATTCTATTGTGTTTTAGGTAAAGTTGGTGTATATATTTGTTTTATATAAATAAATATGTTGTATAATCTTGTATGATTTTTTTCTATGTTTCTCCCCGTATCATGGTTGTACCAGTATGAGTAAATACACAAAATATAAATAAATAAATATAAAATACGATGAGAATGATATATCGTAAGTAGAAATTCACCAATATTTATTACAATTATAAATGCTTCGGATATCCTGTTTATAATATTTACGAAATTAAATGTAATCATCAACCCAAATTATAAAGAAAGGAAGTAATTTATGTTAATCGATAAAAATTCCATTACAGGAAATTCAATTAAATTAGATCAAGATTCGATATCCTTTATCGATAATAAATTATTATTAATACTTAAATTTCGATGTAATTAAGACGACATTTCAAATCCGAAGATGAATTGTTTAATTACATTTGCAGTTGTTTTCTCCATTATTATAGTGGATACTTATGAAAAAAGTTTGGGACTCAAGCAATCGAGAAGTAAGTGTATTTTATACATTTTTTCGGATTGAGTATAAGAGAAACGGATATAAAAATAGTAATAATTAATTTACTTTGGCAGAATTATCTGTAACCGAGAAGAGAACCGTAGAAGATGTGGCAGATGCAGAGGAGTTTGAAATAGATTTTACACCACCGTGTCCGGTGATTGAATGTGTGATAGTGACTGATAGTTTCGTGTCTAGAGATTCTAGCGAAGAAGAAATAAGACCTTATCTAAATGAGATAATTCGTTACGTAAGCTTTAAAACTTGCATTTATTTTGTAATCATACTCCTTCAATTCTTTATTATATTAATTTTCTTGTGTATCAGTCACAGGAAGATTATCTCGATGAATTAGAACTCAATCTAACACTTCGTTTGATTGGACATATCTCCTATACAGTAAGTTAAATGATAGTGAGAAATATAATTTATATTTCGTTTTTTATTTCTGTATACTTCAATTTCAGAACGAAACCGAACCGAATTTCATTAAAGACAGTCTCTATTGGTCCAATACCATTGTTGGTGATAATGCCATTCGTAATATGAAAGAGATTAATGACAATCCTCTTGTTTCAAGAGCAGATGTTGTTGTTCTTCTAACTGGGTAAGAATGAAGTATGACAATAGATTTGTATTACGCTTAACGGCAAAACTAAAAGAAGAAAAACTATTATTTAATTCATAATTATCGAATGTTAATACTAATTAACACGATTAAATTTGAAATATCGTTGACATTTGTTCTATACTTAATCGATTTGTTCTTACACTTTTGTTATACAGTTATAGTGTTTATAGTGAAATATATTTTAGTACACCTGTCAATAAAATTAGGGAGCAAGAAAGAAAATCGCTTACGTCAGAACATTTTGAATGTCATATCTTACTGTTATATATGATACAGTAATGTAAAAAATGTGCATTTGAGCGGAATTGCAATTATTTTCTCAGTATATATGCAATATGCGCATCAGCAAAGCGGAACTAATGATGTTTATGGTATTGCACTGACTTTAGTAGGACGTAAGATATTCGTCAACAGCTGAACTTGCTGAACATCTGTGTGTTTAAAATTCGTCATCGTTATCGATGAGGTGTTGGGGAAGTTTTTGTCATTGTTTCGTATATGCAGTCTTTCTCTCCTAATTGTTTTGACCAGTGTACTTAAATAATGTGCGTATACAAATAAACGTAAAGTATATTATAAGTTTTAAAATGCATAGTAAAATCGTTTCTCTTTCTTTCGTGTTTTTTTTTTTTTTTTTGCTCATACACTTGCGCATCTGCAAAACGGAACTAATGGTGTTTATGGTATTGCGCTGACTTTAGTAGGACGTAAGATATTCGTCAACAGCTGATCTTGCTGCACATCTGAGTGNAATTAAATAATATGTAATTATTTAAATAAATAAATAGAAATTTTATTTATTTAAATAAATTTAAACATTTTCCCAAATATTTAAATTTTTGTGGAACCTAAAATCGTCTTCCGCTTTTGTTATTGTCCGAAGCCAAATCGTCTGTTTAATAAAATTGTTTAATACTGAATGTCTGCCATATTAATCCTTAAAGGGGGAAAGGGGAGAGCTTTTGTCGATTATAGCCAATGCGGTGGATGGGAACCCGGTTACCGCGTTTTTTCTTTAAGTATTTTATTTATTTTCCAGGATATGCATTTCCACTCTGCGATTAGTTCAGTTATATCTTAGTAACAAGAGAAATATTCAAATCCTCGACATTCTTTAACACTAAGGAAATCTTTTAATTCACTAAAGTATTTTCGCATAAGCTTTCCACTAAGTACTGTACATATAATCATTGCAACACAGACAAATCGATATGAATTTTAATTAAGTCCGGTAATCTTCCGCCGCTTAAAATATTTTGAATATAATTCAGATAGTTTTTAATATACGATGCAAATTTTATACTTAATTAAATTCCCGAGTTATTAGCACGCAACGTTTGTACTAATATCGATGGATACGCTTGTTTCAGATCGAACCGATTCAATACGTAATTAGTTTTCTAAGTGCTGCGCTTGGATTAAATTCTCTACTCCTCAGTCTTATAAAATAATCGTCATTCGTGTAAGTTTGCCATCCGAACAAACGTATGTCGGTGTTTAAACATCAGTATTAGCTCCTAAACATTCTTTACTTCCATTACAGTCGATTATGGATTCACATGTAACTGCCGGGTGTCCAGTTTGTCAGATCGACTTTGTTCTTCGAGCGGCCAAAGTCTTCGCCTCGAATATAATTATGGACTGCAACTGCCAGAAGAACGAAAGAAAACCGAAATTTCGTTTCTTCCTGGACAAAGCTTACGGGTGTTACGAAAACACGGTACATCTTTTCTTGTGGACTATAACAATACGACAGTTTCTGGAAACATTTTTCGAAGTCGTAACCTGCAGTGAGTGGATATACGTTTACGGAACCGGCAATAGTTTTATCAGATTGATATATTCTATTGTTTATCTGTCTTGTGCTGTTCTTTTCGGCATATTTAAAAGAAGAAAACTGTACTTCGAATACAAGAAAAGCGCTTACGAAGAAGAAACCTCCTTAAACAAATACTTCGAAGCACTTTCGTTAATTTCACTTATTCTCTACTTTATTATTTTACTTATTGAATCTCTAGTAGTTGATATATTCGGTTTTCCAATCATAACAGATAAGAAAACTTCCGGAAGAGCGGCATTTTGTTGCATTCTTATAAATATCAGTCATATATATTATTTTGCTGTTATTTTCCTTACCGTCTTGCAAGGTATCGTCGTTGGATTTATAATGTTCGAAAGATTAAAAACTCTGTCAACAACGACGAAGAGTTTCCACGCCGAACACAGTCGTTTGGAGATCTTCTTAAACAGTTGCGTAGAAAAGCACACGGAAATTTTGGACTGTTTCGTACAGGTGAACGAGGTGTGCGAATACGTCTTTCCTCTGATCTACGCCTTTGCTCTGTACGTCAATTGTTTTTTCATTTACGTGGTGGCATTCATCGACATAAACTTGCTTTTGAGAATCCTCATTTCGGCTTTATGTTTAGCCTTATTTTTCGTGATTTTTCTACTTTCTTTTGCTTTGTCCCGTTTAACATCTGAGGTAAGCGCTATCTTCGTTTACGTAATAAAAATAGAAAATAAATACGTTCCTTGTTTCGATAATTTTCATTTTTAAATTATTGTATCGTCTTTCGAATTAAATGGCTATGACGCATTTCTTTTACGATTTATTATTTTGTTTTTTACAATTCGCATCCCAAATAATCGAATGAGGTGAACTTGCGATACGAAAAAAGTAATAAGAAGGAAAAATTTCATTATTATAATATTTTATAGTGAAAGACAGAATAGTGAATTAAAACATACGCGAAACAGCAATTTTTCTTTTTATCAGTCTCTTCTTCGTCTTTGTATCCAATTACAGTATTCGCATTTTTCACCAGATGCTCGCCCTCTGGTGTTTAAAAACAAAACTTTTCTATCTGGGTCGTTCGATTCATTCTTGTGTATTATCGGCAGTAAAGACAAAAAGCGATAGAAAAAGCAACGCTTACTATTGGTTCCAAATTGCAATTTCATAGCCTTACGAGAGCCTGATATAAGTTTTCGTCTATTCCCACACAAAAAACGGGAAAAAACAGATGATTTTTCGGAAATTGACCGGTTATATTTATGGGCTCTGAATTCTGAAAGAGTGGATTAAGAATTGGTAGTTTCCCGATTGTTTAGCTTTATGCTGTCGATTTTAAAACATTTTGCTAAAGTTCAAAATACCAGTAATTTTGTATAGGACACGGGGCCGGATTTAAGCATTTCGAAGCCCTAAGCTGAACTCTGTAAGGCCCCTTAACCCACCCTACACAATTTTAGAAGTCAATCATGAAAAGAAAAGGATTAAATCAGACTATGACTCTGATTTAATACGGATATTGAAAGAAACGCGAGGTTTCACTAGTCTTCTGTTCTATAACTCAGTTTAATTAAATTTTTATACCCATTCAATTAAAAATCTGTTTTTAAATTGGTTTTATCAATTTATTTAAAAACAGATCTTATGTTAATTCTTAAAAAAAATTAATGAAATATTACACAAAATAAACAGTGAAGTACATTTTGTTGCATTACATTACAAAATCTGACTTTAATTTTCTTTTTTGTAGAAATGTTTGAGGTCCCTTTCTCTTTTTTCTTATAAATCCGGGAAAGGTCGCGCGTAGGAATATGGTTCACTAGACATTTATTGTTCGCCCAGAGGGGGATCGCCACCCCTTTATTCGGAGGATAAATCTTACCGTCCCAATCGTGTCATACGGATCTATATTTCTACCTATTAAACATTCTATCAATACTTTAAAATAGTTTAATTTGTTTATTTACCTTCGCTCGTAAACCTCGATTTTAAATGTATCCGCCATTTTTTCAACAAATTTCCCGTGAGTCAATGCGCAAGGTTAATCGAGGCATATAATAATTATTTATACCATTCCGTGGTATAAATGATAAATTCGTATCAATAATAAATTTCTATTACAAATAAAAATAATTTATTCTTAATTTAAAATCATCACTAAAGCGCCTCTAGTGCCCGTTTTTGGCATATCGTTACGTGGACGGATACCCTTTCAATGAGTTATGTACTGTAAGGTCTCGTTTTATGCGGTGGATACGTTTTACAGAAAAGCGCATATAAAAAATTCGCATAAAAAAAGACTTTACTTTCCTTGAAAAAGTAGGGATACGTTCCGTAATTTTTTAAAATCGCATAAAACCAAAACAACGAGTTAAAATTAACTTAAAACCGCATAAAAAGTTTGCAGAAATTAAAAGAAGTAGGCTGCTTAATAAATTTCTTCGAATGTCTGAAAAAATTCATATAAAAGCTTAAAATAAACTCGTATTCAAACTTAATTCAGTTTATTTTATCAAAAAGTAATACAAGGGCAATCCCCGAATTGCAAAAGCTCACTCTAAAAAAAAATCACTGACATCTGGATGTGAAGGGTTAATTAAAAACCCCTCTAGTTCTTCGCCCCCTTACATAAAACACGGTCCTTAAACTATTTTTGAAATTTTTTTTGAATTTTTGGAATGTTAAGTCTCCAAATTTTTAAAAAATATTTAAAAATATACGGCCAGCTACAGTTCACCCTACTTTAAATCCTTGTCCTCCCGNTGTTCCCACAGAGGGGGGTCGCCACCCCTTCATTCGGAAGGTAAATCTTACCGTCCCAATCGCGTCATACGAATCTATATTTCTACCTATTAAACATTCTATAAATACTTTAAAATAGTTTAATTTGTTTATTTACCTTCGCTCGTAAACCTCGATTATAAATGTATCCGCCATTTTTTCAACAAATTTCCCGTGACTCAATGCGCGACGTTCACTGAGTCACGGGATGTCGTAAACGTGCGGCGCAAGCTTAATCGAGGCAAATAATAATTATTTATACCATTCTGTGGTATAAATAATAAATTCGTATCAATAATAAATTCCTATTAAAAATAAAATAATTTATTGTTAATTTAGAATTATCAATAGGGCGACTCTAGCGCCCGTTTTTGGCATACCGTTACGCAGACGGGTACCCTTTCAATGGGTTATATATTAATATATAGATACTTTACAATGCAGAGTTTAACGCGAACTTATTCTAAAAATAATTAATAGAATATTAATCAAAATAACTTTCATTTATTTTCTTTTCAGTTGTACAATAACTTCATAGAAATCAGAAGATTTTCTTCCATCCACATGAAAATTGAAAGCAAACTCAAGGTTGACATCGCTCGAAATACTCGATTAATTGTTAAATTCGGCTTTTAACCGTAAACAATTTGATTAATAAACTTATCTGATTAGTTTCTAGATTTCATGAAGAGATTCGGAAAGACCCCGATCGGCATTTCTGTTGGAGGA